CCGCGGGCTCAGGCCATCCACTCACCTCAGCCTCCCAAAGGCGCGGGATCACAGGCTGAGTCACCGAGCCCGACTCTGGCTTCATCTCTTACATGTAACATTCCGCTCCTCACATACACACACACACAATGTCAATATATAGATACTAAACGTCCATATATCATAATATCTATGTATTATATTACCTATAATACATAATCGCAACATAATATAGATATAAAAACATGTGACATTTATTAAATATTATACATGTATAGACATATGTTGTATAATTATACACAGTATAGTGTATGTATTTTATATGATTATATATTTTATATATTATTATATAAATGCATATTACTGCAAAAGAGAAAATAAAACCTGCCCACCAGGCTCCACACACACTCCAGAGACAACTGTGCTGTTTTATATATAATAACATATAAAGTAATATAATATAATAATATCAAGGGTGCCAAAAAAAGGATACACATTTTAAGAGATGTTATCTATGTTTTACTTTTCCAAGTTGAATTGAATTCCGGCAGCCACGTGTCGTCTGACGTTTGCTCAATGTTGCTTCCGCCGTTTTCTTTGACTGTCCCGCCTGTGGCATGACGCTAGCATTTGTTCGATTGATGCCCTCTTTTGAGGGAATATTATATTTAAAATGTGTATACATTTTTTGGGCGTCCCCTGTGTATACGATCCAGACAGACCAAACACGTTTCCTCAGACAGGACCGGCTCCCTCACCACCAGGACTCTGCAGGCCCCCACCCTGCCTTCCTGTAACTCTCACTTCTCTTTACTGACTTAGATGCCCCCTCCTCCAGGAAGCCCCCCCTGACCCTCCCTGACTCTGGGTTTCCAAAGCTGTCTGGGTTGTCGCCCTGGGGCTGGGTCTGTCTCTCCTGCTGGACCATGAACCCCAGAAGGATGGGGCCAGGACTGGCTGGGTCACTACTGTGTCCCCAGCACTGGGTGTGGCAAGAAAGGTTTGCACAGATGTTCACTGAATGAATGAATGTCACCAGGCACCCAGAGTGTGGGCCCGCGTGTCCCCTCTGTCCCTGGCACCTCGCCTTGTCCTGTTTCAGGTGACAACAACATCTATGAAGTGATGCCATCTCCGGTCTCGCTGGTGTCCCCCTTCAATGACCCAAGCTCCACGAGCCCAGCCCTGGTGAGTGCGTCCCCACCCCTCCCCTGAGGCCCACTGCTGACGGCATGCAGCCCCTCTGAGTGGACCGAGCTCCCCCAGGGCACTTTGGCACAGAGTTTGGGAACCTCGACTCTATCATGCCCCTGTGTTAAAACTCATAAGGAAAAAGCCGGATGTGGTGGCTCGTGCCTGTGATCCCAGCACTTTGGGAGGCCGAGGCAGGAGAATCGCTTGGGCCCAAGAGTTCAAGACTGGCGGGGCTCAGTGGCTCAGCCTGTCATCCCAGCACTTTGGGAGGCTGATGTGAGCGGACTGCCTGAGCCCGCGGGTTTGAGACCCGCCCGGGCAACTTGGTGAGCCCTCATTTCTACAATAAATCAAAAAATTAGCCGGGCGTGGTAGCGTGCACCTGTAGTTCCGGCTACT